CCACTAGTTCGAATTAAGTGGCTACACAGCCCTTAATTCGAACTAGGCGTTAGTCCTCGTAGAATGAGGTTTACCTAGTTCGAATTAAGCGCTCCGCTAGTTTGAATTAAGTTCGAACTAGCGGTTCGCGTGTGTAGCGCCTATCAAATTTAATTCGAACTAACGTCTGTTAGTGTAGACATACCCTGAGTGATTATGTAGTTCCAAACATACTTTATAGTAAATGTAAGAGTGATTAGAATTCAAATTTCCTATCCAGCAGTATTCACACTAGCTTGAATATGAAATAAGCAGAACCGGATATACTTTGAATATAAGTGGTTATATAATTCCAAATATATTTTATAGTAAATATAAGAGTAATCAGGTTTCAGATTTGCTATTCATCAGTATTCACCTTAGCTTGAACTTTCTCAGAAAGGAAACAGGGGAGGATTAAGATGATGGCCAAACCGATTCTATTTTTAAATTAGTACAAATAGATGCAAAATACCTTTTCCAATTCACTCATCTTTAGTAAATTGTATTAGTATTAAAGCTTAGTATTAAAGACTATTAGAATTGAACTGAAATCAATTTCTATATTCTTTGTAGATTAATGGATAATATGAATATTTCTTTACACTTTTTTATATTTATCTGCTTAAATTTTCAGTTTCATAAAATTATTGTGTTTAAGTTTTTTTAAATTTTAATTAGGGCTGTCAAGCAATCAAAAATATTAACTTTTCTAAGTGATTTTTAACTTGTTCTTTTTTTAAATGTTATCTTCTAAACCTATAACTTTCCCACTGGCATATATATATTTACCCCAATGTCTGTGACTCTGTAACACTGAAACACAGGCTGTTCATTCTGGGTGGTGCTGTTGCCTCCTGCCGTGATGCTCGGTAGACTTCTGCGCTGCTCAGACGGGCCACTGCATGGGAGCAAGCAGCTCAAGTGGCTGTTTGGGGTCCGCACTCCCCACGCAGTGCAGAAGTCAGCTGAGCACCATGGCAGGAGGCAACAGCACTGCCCAGAGGGAACAGCCAAGGGTTGGGGCCTGGATGAGTATGCATCTCTGACATCAGGAAAGGGTGCCAGATTCAAAAGGAGGAAAGCGGAGCAGACACAGAGAACGTGGAGGAGACAGAGAAGAGAACAGAGGTGGCAGAGAGGAGGCGGAGGACAGCGAGAGAAAGAGTAAGAGAGACACAGCAGGAGGAGGAGAAGAGAAACACAGAGTGAGAGGCAGGAGGGAGAGAAGAGAAAGAGAGAGAGAAGGAGAGAGGCAGGAGGCAGACAAGAGTTGAGAGAGAGAGAGAGGGCAAGGCAGTAGGAGGAGAAGAGAGAGAGAAGCCATTTGCACCGCTTGCTCCGGCACGGCAGCCCGGCTGAGTGGCACAGAAGTCAGCTGAGCACCAGGGCGGGAGGCAAAGGGGGTGGGGCAATGATGTACACACCCAGTGGGCGGGGCCTGGATGAGCGTGCATCCCTGACGGAGACAGAGGAGAGCGGAGAGAGAGTGAAAGGCAGAAGGGGGAGAAGAGAAAGTGAGAGATGGAGTGGAGAGAGAGTGAGAGGCAGGAGGGGGAGAAGAGAAAGAGAGAGATGGAGAGAGAGGCAGAAGGCGGAGGAGAGCTGGAGGGGGGAGGCAGTAGGAGGAGAAGAGAGAGAGAGAGACGGAGTGAGAGACCGGAGGCTCAGGAGAGAAGACCGACGTGGACGAGAGACCTGAAAATCCCATCTTACGATGGGCTAATTGTCTAGTTAAAAATAATCATGATTAATCATGCGATTAGTCTCACTATAAAACAATAGTAAGAATAATACTTATTTAAATATTTTTGGATATATTCTACATCTTCTAATATATTGATTTCAATTACAACACAGAATACAAACTGTATAGTGCTCACTTTATATTCATTTTTTATTACAAAACTTTTACACTGTAAAAAAGAAACTTCAGCTCACCTCACTGAAGTAATGTAGTACAAATTCTATCATGAAAGCTGAACGTTCATCTATATAATCAATTCATTTGTGTCCTATTCAAAAGAGTCTCTTCTTAGCTCAGCCCCAACTGTGGGCAGCACAGGGCTGGAGGGGGGTAGACTCTGCCCTGGGCAGTGAAGAGTTGGGTGGAGGACTCAGCCCCCAATTGCAGGTGGCATAGGGTTCAGAGGTGGGGCCCTGCAGCTTATGCTGGTTTCTCAGCAGTGGGATACAAGAAGATAATGCTTTGCAACTATTACAATACAAATTGTGAAAATCATGTGTCAAAATATACAATATATATATTTTCTAATAATTTCTTAAGCAACATTTTTCTTACCTGACACACTTGAAAATGTTGATTACAATTGGTAGAAATGTTTTCCTAAATGTGTGTGAGAATGATGAAACTGACATTTACCAGTAAAAATAGTGCCCTTCCAAGCCTAAAGACAAGGAACCTGGCTACAGATATTTGGGAGAGGCATTCTCCATCTTGAGAGCCAAGTCAAACTCAAAACCAAGAGAATGATACCTATTCTAAATACAGTGAGATAGGTCAAGAGGGTCTGATTTAAAAAAACAAACAAACCATGGTACTGTCTATTTAGCTCATTTGGGATTGTTCCTGCTTTAAGCAGGGGGTTGGACTTGATAACTTTCTGAGATCTCTTCCAACCCTATGATTCTATGACTGCATGATACACTTAAGGTAATGTTGCAGTGTAGTCTGATAGAATAATTAGCAACCAAAAAGTAAGTACCTGTAATTCTCTGAGTGTCTGATTACAGACTTCTATTATTCCATGAGAGATGTATTCTCTCTCATTCTCTACAAAGGTGCAAAGACACCAATACCAGTGAGAAGAGAAGAAACCATAATTTTTTAGTTCCAAACCCATGATACCTAGAATTTCCTCCCCATGTTTGGGGCTACATTGTAGTGACATTAAAATGTTCTATTTGTCCATAGGTTTCTTCTGTTTATTGCTTTATGTTTATGTGATCATTGAACGTATTTTTGGAAAAAGCAAAAGTAAGTTAATATATATTTGTTTATCATTTGTTTAAGTTTACATAATGTATAAATGTCTAACAGTGAAGATAACTAGTGGAACAATTTACATGTCATGGGGGCTACGTCTAGACTGCAAGCCTCTTTCAAAAGAGGCTTTTTCGAAAGATACTTTCGAAAAAGCTTCTTTTGAAAAAGAGCATCTAGACTACAATCAGTACTTTTGAAAAAGCACAGTTTGCATTACATAGTGCCTTTTTTTGAAAGAGCACTTTTGAAAAAAGGCGTTATTCCTCGTGAAATGAGGAGTACTGCCATCAACAGAAAAGCTGTGTTCTTTCGATTTAATTTTGAAAGAACGCGGCTGTAGTCTAGACGCAGGTGAAGTTTTTTCGAAAAAAGGCTACTGCAGTCTAGACACAGCCGGGGAGGCAGAGAACTTACCTTTGACCCGCTGTGATGGCAGAGAACTTACCTTTGACCCTTTATCAGCTGATCTCCCAGTTTGGCTTCTGGAGCCTCCAGGAAATTGACTCCAATCCTGGAAGGCTCTTGGTGAAACCAAGAGCGTGGGTAACCTGCTCACAGCAGGTGGCAGCTCTGGGCTAGCAGCCAGAGCAATGATGCATGTAGTTACTGATTTTCCCTTAGGAAGTCAAAAGGTGACCTTCATCTGAATGGATGGGGAGTTTTCCCCAGAAAACTCTACAGAGTGGGAGTTGCCTGGAAGAGAGAAAGGACCAAGCTGTGGAATATTGTTTTCAAGAGCCCAGAAACCAGTTCTCAGGGGGACACTGCATGCAGGCCTGGGACACAAGTTCACCGCAGCCAGCCCTGGCCTTACTGTGGCTCACCCCAGAATCTTTCCAAAATGGTTCTTCCTTCTCCCTGGTTCCTAGAGAAGGCATCTAGCTTCCTAGCTCTTAACCCTAAGATTTTACTTTTCAGTCATTCGACTTTGCCCCATGGGTGTAGTTACAGTTGTATCTGAATGTGGCATGGTCCACACATGTAGCATTCAAGACCATATAAATAGAGAACTGAGCCCCCAAATCCATACACTCTAATAACATTTCCAGCCGCATTTTTTTTTTACTCGGTCAACTTAAAAACAGTAATTATTATTGGTAAACATATTTATTTCCCTCAGTTTGTGAGAGGATAATGAAACTGACAGTTACTTACATTTACCAGTAAAAATTGAGTCCTTCCAAGAGACAAGCTACCTGGCTACAGACATTTGGGAGAGGCACTCTACACCATGAGAGCCGAGTAGTCCACAAAGAAATTGAGGAGATTGATTCATATTCTAAATACAGTAAGACAGGTCATGAAGGTCTGTTTTTGTTGGGCGTTTTTAAAATGTTTACAGTGTAGCTAATAGAACAGTTAGCAACAGAAAAGTAAACACCTATAAGTGTCTGAAGACAGGCCTCTGTTATTCCATCAGAAATGTATTCTCTCATTCTCTACAAAGGTGCAAAGACAACAATACTGGTGAAAATGAGAAGAAAAAGTTCATCCTGGTTTATATCCAAACCAGGATTACTTCCCCCATGATTGCAGCTACATTGTAGTGACAGACATGTTCTGTTTTTCCATAGGTTTCTTATTTTGTTTATTGTTCTTTATTCCTGTGATCGCTGAAAATTTCATTGGAGAAAGCAAACGTAAGTTAATTTTTAAAAAAATTACATAATGTTTAAATGTGTAACAGCAAAGGTAAGGAACCATTAAAACAGTGTACATGTCCATAGGAGGCAGGGAACTTAGACTGACTGCGATGAGAGACAATGAATATGTGCTCTCCCAATTTGGCTTTGGAAGCCCCCAGCAGATGGAGCCCAATTCTGGGAGACTCCTGATGAAACCAGGAATGAGGGCAGATTATTTACAGTAAGTGGGACACCTGGGGTACGTCTAAACTACATGCTTATGTCGGCAGAGGCATGTAGATTAGACAGATCAGCAAAGGCAAATGAAGCCGCGATTTAAATGATCGCGGCTTCATTTACATTTACATGGCTGC